GCAACAGCAGGGAAGGAATATTAGTTTTCATGTGAAAAGAAGGAGATTCTTCCCTCCATTATCTCTCACCATCTCATCTCTCTGCCAACCTCCCTTGCCATCTAGCCACCTCTTTTTCACTCTACAAAGCAACTGAACAACTGCACAGCTTAATGGTGGATTTTAACTGCATAAGCCTTCTTTGTGAGTAAGAACAACTTAACAGATTTTGGTAGCATGGATGCCAGCAAGCCCTCAGTGGAGGATTTGACAGATGAAGAGTGCTAGTGGCAGCAAGGAGAGATTCCAGAGGATAGAAGACAAGAGATGGATGAAAATGACATGGAGACTTAATGCTCCAAGCACGCAGCTGAAGCAATTTACTGCTTGTCCACAACAATGAAGCGCCAGTAATGTGGGTGAATGACAAAGACCTGCTTGGTATACTGGCGAGATTACAGTTTTACAAAATAGCCATTTCTGAATTAACACGGAGCAGAATGATTGGGTTTCCTTAATGTAATGACTAGAGTATTTGTGAGAGTTGAGTATGAGGCCATGTTTTATAAATAGCATGAATAGCAGTTTTTCCCTTAAATATAGAGAATCTATTATTGAGCATGTCACATAAACGACTCCTCAAAATTAGCTAACTGGGGAACACGTAGCCCTTGGTTCCATTTTGAAGAACCCTTTTATGTGAGATGATTGCATATTTTGTACAAAGGTAAGTGTACCCGAGTTTCCTAATTATGTGGTTTTTAAATTACAGACCTATATGGATGAGATTCACCAGTACTTTTCTGGCTGATTGTGCTGCTCCAGTCATTCAAAGCAGCCAAAAACCCAAGTTAATTACCCTGTTAAAAACAGATTTATTGTTATTATGCATCACTGGAACTGGGTAGGACAGTTGGGGCCTTCCAGTGAAAATGGACGATTAGTGACCCAAACTAACCTAAGACTCAAACTGTATTATCAAAAATATTAACATCTTTTAAATACTGTGGCAGGGTAACCCCCCCTCCTGGGTCCCAGTACCCTGCCCAGTCCTTCCTCTAAAAGTTTCAGTCCTATGTTATTAACCCGTACCAGGGTTCAAGCTCTAGCCTCTCAGCCACAAAGGCATTGGGGCCCAGGGTTAGCCTGGGCAGCAAAAATCATCCTTTCCCGCTCCCAGCTGGGCTCTCAGGCTGCAAGGAGAAGGAAAGTCTTAAACACCCTGTTTGGGGCTCCTCACCCCCCACTTTCTATCTCTCAGGCCAGTCTTTCTCTCTCCCCTCCCTCCCTGCAAGGAGGGCTTCCTTTTAAAGGCTGCACCAGCAGCCCTATCTCCTTTGCTCCTGATTGTCCAGGGCTGTTGCTGCCTTAGAGCTGCCTTTCTCTCTATCTGCTGTATTCCTCCAGCTTGACCCTGTCACAATACATAACCGATGTCTGAGGTCTGCCTTCCTTTCAGAAAGGAAAACCCAAAGATGTAGACAGTGCAAGTGCCTTTAATAATAGCTTCCAGAACAAGCCAGATGTTCTGAATTAGTTGTGTTCACTAATAAACAGCCTTCTCCAAGGAAGATATGACTTTGATGTCTGTGAATTTCTCCCACCTGCCCCCAGCCAGCAAGAAAACATCACTGAACCCAATTTGATGAGAGTCGGCAGCCACACTGTCAAGAAAGTTGATTTCTGTATCTCAGCCTTAAGTGAGGGAAGGAGTTTCTAACTGTATACATTTAGATGCTACAGTTCTGAGTTCACATGTGGTGACCATGACTGAACATTTTCAGCTGACCCATCATCACCTCTAACCCAACCTTAAAATAAAATTCAGAGTATTAGCAACATGCAAGATTGTGGCTTCACTGTCCATGTGACCATATAAACCGTGAGCACATCAGTATGTATATGTACAAGCACTGAGCCAGGAACAACCTTGGCTGGCCCCATAATTGCCACACCGGTCATAATAACATTCATTCAGAAAGCCACTCATATTTAAGTTCCGATCTGAACAGCTTGAACTTCTGTGTTTCCAGAATGGCTTGGCAAAGGAAAATCAGCAGAATAGCAAACACTCTCAGCCAAGAGGGATTGGTAACTCCTGGATGCTACAGTGTGTGCACAGATGAGACATGGCACAGAGCAGCATTCTGAAAGCAATTTGTATCACCTTTCATTGTGATAGACAAGACAATTAATGCCAAACTATATTTTTACCAAGCAACTACAGCAACTCTGAGCACCCCATTCAAGTGACAGCCTTCTCATTAAGTTTAATCTGTCCAGCTAAATTATAAATTCTATTTCCTGTCAAAGGGTAGCCACATTCTGTCAAAAATGGTTTCAAGAATGTGTGTGCATAAACACAAGCACATGAGAGCTTGTAAACAGTTTGAGAATCTAAATCCATATGAAATGGACAGAATAAGCTCAGGACAAATTCTAAAAAATGTTTAAGACTGTGTAGCAGGGTGTGATGGTCAAACTGAAAGTACTTTGGATGTATCCAATTTACGTAAGATCAGAATCTGGCCCATACCATCTAATATTAAATAAACTTTAAAAAGCAACAAATAGTCTGGTAGCACTTTATAGACTAACAGGACACGTAGATGGTATCATGAGCTTTCGTGGGCACAGCCCACGAAAGCTCATACCACCATCTACATGTCCTGTTAGTCTATAAAGTGCTACCAGACTATTTGTTGCTTTTTAAAGTTTATTTAATATTAGATCTAATACTAGTTATACACTAGGGCTATGCCTAAACTTCCCCCTCTTGTGCAAGAATATATGCAAATGAGGCGAAGCAGTGAATATCGCCGCACCTCATTTGCATACTTAATGAGCCGCCATTTTGCGCAAGGGGCTTTTGTGTCTATACAGCTCCTTTTTGCACAAAACCCCTCTTGTTCGAGAGCCATTCTGCCGCTTTTTTAGGCACAATGGCTCTTGCACAAAAGCCCCTTGTGCAAAAATAGCAGTTCATTAAGTATGCAAATGAGGCATGGAGATATTCACCACTTTGCCTCATTTGCATATTTTCTTGAACAAGAGGGGGAAGTCTAGACATAGCCTAGGTATATCTGTTAGCTATCTCTGTCAAGTGTCCGAGAAAAAAAACACAGACGAATGTGGATTATTAAAGCAGCTTTGTGTCTCCAGCAAAAATGAACTCTGGTGTTAAGTGATAAAGCCATCTCAGTGGTAATTATTTTATTCTGGGGAATGGGAGAATAAACTAAAATTAACATCAGCTAAGTTATTGCACTGTGGGTCTCTATGCCTGAATACTAATTTAAGAATGCAGACATGGGGGAATAGTCCTAACTCAATTCACAAGCCTGTTATGTAGTCCCCCTGAAACTAAAGGGATTTATGTAACCAAACACATGGATATTTTTTTGTTAAGGAGCTAGATTGTAAAGTATGATTTCTCATACTCATGTGCTTTTAGCTTAGTGGTATTTTAGATGATAATTTTTCTCATTAAATACATTTTGCAGGAAGATAACTTTCGTTATTACATATATATATATTTTTTTAAATAAATCTTCCCTCCTGCAAACTGTACTTAATGATAAAAGTTACCATTAAAAACAATCATCATTTCCGTTAAAAATGAGATCTTATCCATAAAACCCACTAAAGAACTGTTACTACTAAAGGGCAGTTTCATGGCTCCCAGTTATAGGTTTGACTTGTTTTTTGTTCCTAAGGGAAAGGCAGTACTATTTTTGTGAATCTTATGGGAAAAAATGGATATGTTTAAATTGCTTAGAGTGTGTTTCCTTTCAAAACAATAGTAGTATCTTATTATCAGAGCCTATAAATAAGTGATGGGAACATTAATTGAGGAAGTTCAGGCAGTAGGTAAAATCCTGGCCTCCTCGAAGGCAAAAAATCCCATTGATTTCAATGGGAACATGCTTTCCCCTTTTGCCTACCTAGGTCCTTAGACCCCACAATCACAACATCAGAACATCTTGCAAATATAAGGGTGACAAGAGTGTTATCACTCTCTTCCTCCTTGTTGTTGAAGGTTTTTTTAATACTGCTCCCCACTTTTGCTTGAACACTAAAACATCTAGTGCTTATCCTGACTAATTTCCCAAACACATTGTCAGTGATATTTGTAGCAAAGTTCTCTAGTTTCATATAAATTGACATAGTTTGATCTGAAATTTTCACCCATTGTCAGGAGGAAATCTCTATTAAGGACAGCATTTAAGCACGTGCTTAATTTTAAGCATCTGCATATATCCTTTGAGATTTCAGTACATGACAAAAGTTAAGACCATGTTTACATGTTTTCCTGAGCTGGCACTCAGATTCTAATCTCATATACAAAGAAAAGTACTCTGGAAATTGTGTTTGTCATCATCAGCGAAGGAAAACATGAAGGACTAGAAATAAATGGCAGATGAATACTACCTTACTGTTCTAGAGGATTTAGTTGTAGCTAGATGTTGACATCTCTGTTTTGGAGGCCTGATTGTGAAACATTGTACCTCACAGAAATACTTTGGTAACCCCATACATACCACAGTGATATAATTATGATACGTTTTGTAAAAAGGATACTTTGGAAGGTATCATTATAAAACTCTTGATCTTTAGAACAATAATATTCTGTTGGGTTGTATGTGCTATCACTGTATGTAAAGTTATGACATTTTGCAATGTGAGTGTTATTGGAATGGGTAATTTGTAGTGAGGCTCTTTGGGAGTATTAATCTGGCATATTTCAGAGTAATAAATTCACATAAAAAACCCCTAATATCTCTCAAGCGATTCAAATGAGTGGTTCACAAACATTCATTTATTTTCACAACACTCCTGAGAGATGGGGTGTGGGAAGGCATTAACTTACTTCATATATGAGGTGCTGAGGCAATGAAAGATCAGGGTCAAAAGTATCCCCTAACTTTGGGCACCTCATTGGACACATTAGGACCTGAATTTTTAGAGCACTTTTATAGCACTTTATATATCCAAAAGACAGCTTCCACTGAGTCCAGTTGTAGCAGTGAGTACTTAGCACTGCCACACATCAGATGCCAGGGTCTCAAGCTGGGCACCCAGAAAATAAAGAACACACTGATAGTGAGCATCTTTAAAAAATGTGGCTTAAGTGATTTGCCCAGCACCACGCAAGAACTCCATAGCAGAGGCAGCAATAGAATCCAGTTCTCCAGGTCAGCATTCAAACAGCCAGGAGGCTATCCTTTCTCTTCGTGCAGTCCCCTGCCTTATCGCTGCTCACATTTCAACCTCTGCAGTAAACGAAACAAGGGTCCTACATATTAGGGGATTCTCAAACTTTTTATGAGACTCCCTCAAAACATGCTATAAAACAGGGGTGGGCAATCAGTAGCCCAAACATAGTTCGCCAGGGTTTGCCACTGGTAGGCCACCAGACGCTTTGTTTGCCAGTATGTCCACAGGTAAAAAGCATCCGGTGGCCCGCCAGTGGCAAACCCTGGGTGTCTGACCCACAAGCCATTTTTTGCCCACCCCGATATAAAAACTGTTTTTCCACATATGAAAGTCAGGGTCGGGGTTAGCAAGAAGCACAGTTGCCCAGAGCCAAATGCCACAGGGGGCTCCATCAAGTGAAGCTACTCAGGTTTTGACTTCAGCAAGGCTTCAGTTTTCTGTCCTGGTCCCAGAGAATCTATTGCTGGTCCTGTTGGCGGGACCCCCTGAAACCTGCTTGTGCTCCCCCCCTCCTCTCCGGGGACTCTGACCCTTGGTTGAGAACTCCTGCTCTAGACAATGGCTTCTTTCACTGCACAACCCTGAGACATGCCCCTCCTCCCTCCGGAGCAGCTCCATCCTGTGTTTTCAATGAGGCAACGTATAATATAAGACATTATGATAATGCACAAGGGGTTGAATTAAAGTTACACGGAAGGTGCTAACTTTTGAATGTGTGATAGTGCACCCTTAATAATGTTCTTTTGAACATAGTTTGTGTGTATGTGAGTGTAAGTATAGGATGAGATACACATAGGCTGAAGTGAAAACTCAAGGCCTTGACTCTTGATGCAGCTGGGGCAAGTGGGTAAGAATCTGAACCCAGATCCAAATTTTACATTAGGGTGTTGGCTATAACAAGATAAAGCCAAACCTTGGGATTCATGCATTCCTGGATTTTTGGAGTCCAAGGGTTGAAATGGAGATCTAGATCCAGATTAAACTATACGGTTCTAATCAATGCCTAACCTAAATATGCTTGGCAATATTTTTCTGCCAAAATACTTTCCCCAGTGACAAACAAAGATTCCATGACACCAAAACATTTAGCAAATTTGTGTCATTTTCACCAAATAGTTTTGCTCAAAACAATCCTTTGAAAAAAACCCTTCAAAATGTTTGATTTTTAAAATGATTTAAGAAAATGAAAAGAAATGTTAACATGAATCAAAAGTTTTAAAATGATCAACACTGAAATGAAACACTTTGTTTAAAATAAATCTTGTTTGACCTGAAATAGTTTACTTGGCAAAAAAACAAAACAACTTTGTCATCAGCTTTTCCCACAATTATTTTCTTTTGTATTTTTCAGAATTGCCAGTGAACCAAACAATTCATTATTTGCACAATTCTAATTGCAATACCTACACTTTCTAAGTAAAGTGGGGATGGAATAATAGTGCAGAAGCCAAAACAGTCTTGGTTCTGTGCATCAGTGCCAGGTGTTTTCTGCTGCTTCAATGTGCATTTGTGTATCGTGTTTGCACATAAAGAAATTCCGAGTGAATATACTATCAAATATAGAAATATATAGATGATGTATAGTCAACAAGTATTCTAGGTCTGTTTTTTCTTCCTGTTTGTTAATCTGTGAAATCCATTATCTAGCATCAAGGAGTTCAGATATTTCAAACATGAAAGGTTGAACAGGTTATTATTTCATTGCATCTCCACTGTATTACACTGGAGCATTCATTCTGACTTTACTACATCCTCTCTGCAGAAAATATTAGCTCATGGACTTTTATTACCAAATGGCACATAATCTGAATTGTATCTAGCCATTAAATCAAATCATGTGGAAACTATTCACTGTATTTAAAATGGCTCTCAGTAACACTATAAAAAGCCAGAAATCTTCAGTTCTCATTGTGACATCTTACTCTTAGATCTATGGGAATTTTGCTTGGAAAAAGATGACATATCTATGTGGGTTACATCTAAATTGTGCTCTAACTCTTAGAGAAATTACCATGGAATGGAACATTCCACCACTCCCCTCACTCTGCAGAGAATGCTTTAATTGACCCCTTTCTGCAAAAATATATTTTATATTGTTTAAATTTGGGCCCAAATTTAGCAATGATGAGCAGTTGTTATAAATTACAGCCTTTTCACATCCTTGGACTTACATATGAATTTGGCCCATTACAATTAAAAACTTTTTATAAATCAATCAATTTAAAGTTATAAAACTTGATTCTCCTTTGGCGTGCAATGCTATTTAGAAGTCATATTGGCAGTTTGCATTTCTCTAAAGTCCAATAAAATTATTTTTGCTCTTAACAAAGTTAATGTTTCTAGCATAGATTGGGATTGGACCAAATCTTACTCTCCTTACTTATATGCATAGTGTCTTGACAAAGAGTAGTCACATCCAATCAAACTGCTGCAGTCAAAACTTCTTTCATGAAACTTTATTCCAACTAGAATCCAATACTCTGTATGCCCTTGAGTAATCTCAGGTGTGTGATAGTAATATGTATACAGACAGTGTAGTTAAAGGGAAATTGCAATTTAATCTGTAAGATTATCATAAACCTTTTAATGGCCAAAAAAAGTGGACATCTAGACCAAATATAGCTTGCTGACTGTAACAAAAAGGGAATAACTATCTATGATCTGTTTCCAATATTACATTTGAATATTGTTAGCTTTGAGTGTGAAGCTCATAAGCAGGAAGCTTCCATTAGCTTCATAGTTACGATTCATGAATATTTCTATACCCTTCTAGCAATGAATAAATGACACATCTAACAGGACTATTTAAAACTGGAAAACAAGAAAGATGTTAATAAAATATGCTGTATCGCGCCAGCAATTGCTAAGAAAACAATAATAGTTCAATCCTGAGGATGGAGCACACAAAACAGTTGTGAGCTTTGCTCACAGCATTCAGCAAAATCTATTTTCCAACCGAGGCAGGGAAGAAAGTCACAATGGGGAAAAAATTGGCTATGCCCCTTAAAATCGACCATCTCACAAGCTAGAAGAAGATGCACAAATCTGCAGTACTTAGGATTTTTCAAGTCTTTGCTGTACATTTTCCACAATGGGTAAACAGAAGATCCAGGTTCTCTCTTCCTAGATCAGCCTATCAACGGCTTCCCTCCCCTCTCTGAAGGGGGAATGCAATGTAAACCAAAGAAATAAGCATTGATAAAGCAGCCTAATAAAGATGTAAAACACATACTTACACTTCTGGTGTACAATACTCCCAGGTCTCGCTAGCTGGAAATAACTAGCCCATTTCTTTATGGCACTGTTGCTCTCATTTGATCTACAGAAACATAAAAACATGTAACAAGAACATAACTGACTGAGATGCTGGCAGTAATTAAGGATGAATTAAGCAGCTCGAAGGCCTTCATAATCTAAGAATCTTAATGATGACTGGTAGACAAATACCTTGCAGGTTTCAGGAGGAAAATGATGCTCCAAATGCTGCTCCTTGTCTTGTGTAACAGCTAAGGAAGCTCTGTGCCACTGACATGCTGCCAGGCAGCATTTCATATAGGCATTCGTGGGGTCCTAGTGCCTACCCAAGATATTTCTATTCCATGTAATATTCAAATAGGTTCATGTTTCACAGCCCTGGTGCTAGTATTGTACATGAGAATCTTCCATACATCAGCCTGCTCCAAACTGTTCTGCTACGCAAGCTGTGAGGGAGTGGGAGAGATACAGGAGAGTAAGGGTATGTCTACAATACAGAGTTTTGTTGGAAAAACAGCTGTCCACATTGTCGGAAAAACGTCCACACTACAATTGCGTTCTTCCGAAAGTAAATCAAGAGAACAGAGGGGTTTTTTCCGGCATTGGTAATCCTCTTTCTACAAAGAAGAAGCCTTTTTCCAAGAGAGCACCTTTTTCAGAAAAAGCGAGTAGATAGGGAAAGGGGAGTTCTTTCAGAAGAAGAGGAAAGAGGAAAAAGCACAGGTGCCCTGGTGGCCGTACCATCCATAGTAATCACAGCTTAAATGCAAGACAGTGTCCATTCAGTGTGGATGCTATCTTTCAAAAAAAGCAGATCACTTTTTCAGTGCGCTTTTGTGTGTGGACGCTATCTTTCGGAAGAAGTTTTTTGGGAGGATCTTTTATGTAAAAAGGATTCTTCTGAAAGAAGCTTGCAGTCTAGACATAACTTAAAAGGGAATGTGTCCAGAACTACTCCATGCGTTTGTGATCGCACTAGAGAACTGGTGGATTTGGGGCTCTTGTTAAACAGGAGGACAAAAGAACCTGTTAAGTGCTCCAAGCTCATATATAATATGAAAGGTGCCCTGACTCCTTATGGATCACCACTCATCACCTGGGATCCCTCACTCCATAGGAAATAGCTGAAGGTACGTCTACACTACAGTGATATTTCAAAATATCTAATTTCAAAATAGTTAATTCGAAATAAGATATTTTGAAATAAGGCGTCTACACACAAAATGCATTTCAAAATAGCATTTTGCTATTTTGAAATAGTGCATCCACGCTGATTGGATGCTGAATCGCATTTAAGGGCAGCTGAAACCACTTCTGGCAGGGCATCAGGTCAGGAGTTACTTTGTGTAGCTGCTGCCTGAGGCTATCTGAGGCCTGTCACTTAAAGGGACCTCCCTGGGCAGCTGGTTCTCAGGTTTCCATGTTTGCTTGCCTACCTCGCTGAAGGACAGCAAAGCATTTTTTTCTCTGTGTGCTCTCATTGCCCTCACTCGGGACACCACAGCACTCTTCACCAAGGAGCTGGAGCTGACCCTGGGCACTCTGGTATTTCTTTTGGATGTGCTGCTCCAAGCCTGGCAGCAGTTTCTGCAAGCCTGGAAGTAGTTTCTGCAGGCTGCCTCGCAGCACCAGCTGCAGCCCAACCCCCAGGCCATCATCCGGACCCCCCTGGGGTATGTGGAGGAGCAGCTGCAGCTCCTGGATGCCAGCGTGCCCCGCCGCATCCAGCATCTGGACACCAGCAGCGACTGGTGGGATCATGTTGTCCTGGAGTGCTGGGGAGACCAACAATGGACCTAGAACTTTAGGATGAAGAAGGGCACTTTCATGGAGCTCTGTGAGTGGCTTGCCCCTGCTCTGCAGTGATGGGACATGAACATGAGATCCGCCATTCCCCTCCACAAGCATGTGGCCATCGCCCTCCAGAAGCTCTCCACACCAGATAGCTACCGATCCATGGTGAACCAGTTTGGCATGGGGAGATCCACTCTCAGTACAGTGCTCATGCAGGTACACCACTCACCGGCAACTGTGCTGAGGCGGGGGTGGAGGGGCGGGTGTAAGAAGGGGATGGGCTACATCTTAAGGAAAAGGAGGGGAGGTGGTGAAAGTCCCCTCCCTGGGAGGGTTTGTTCTGTCCCGCCCACACTAAGGATTGCCCGGGGTGGCCAGGATTACAGAAGGGGTTGCTCCTAGAGGATTGAGAGAGTGGGGAGGAAGAAGCGGGAGGGGGAGCAGGAGTGGGAGAAGGAGCCAAAATACTTTCCCCAGTGACAAACAAAGGTAGCTGGGGAGGCAGCAGGGGCTGGAGCAGCAGGAGACACCAATCTGTGCACCAGGATTTGCAGGTGGTTGCACATGGCATGGCTCTGGGCAAGCAGCTCCCGTCAGCTGCAGGTCTTCATGCACCCAGTAGTCCAGGGTGTGGTGCTGGCCTTGCAGGATTCCCAGGTGCTGCTGCTAGTTTCAAGGCAAGGATGGTAGGTCTCCACAGCATCGGAGTTGATCTGCTTGACCACAGGCCACGTTCAGCATGTCCTGCTATCCCTCGGAATGGGAGCTGGTCGGGACTGCACCCATGCCCTTATGCTGTATATGGTGTGAGGGTGGAGGGGGCGGGAGATGTGTGCTACCTCTGTGTAGAGGGGGCTTCTGGAGGGAGGGTATTGTGCAGTGTCCCACCCCGGGGTCAGGAGGATGGCATGTGCCTTGATACATACACGTGTGTGGGTAACAGGCCAAGGCCCCTGTGTGGCAGCCAGCTGGAGCCACATGCTCAGAGGTGGCACAGCACATGCACAGGTTGCTGCATGATCCATGGTCAGCAAGAGCCATGTGTGCGGTTCGTGGTCTCCCTCTCCTCCGACCCTCCCCCCGCAAAATGGGACAGTGATGGCACTCACATGTCATTGCCTCCCCAGCCTCAGATGACATCGATGACAGGCCCGCTGCAATGCCTCGGGGGGTCCTGGGTGTGCTGCACAGTCCCTCCAGGCTCCTGTGGCTCCTGGCGCCCCTCCTCCATTTCCTGGTCAGGGCCCTCTGCCCCAGGGTCAATGACCACCTGGGGGGCACGGACCGTCCTGCCTCCCAGGATGCGGTCCAGGGCATCAAAATAGGGGCAGAGGTCTGGGTCTGCCCCTGGTTTGGAGCTGCCCCCATGGTCTTGGCTTAGGCCTACCACAGCTCCTTTATTTTCATTCTCACCTGCTCCTGGATTCGCATGTGGCCTTTGGTGGCCAGGCTGAAAGCCATCTGCCTGTAGACGGTTGCGTTCCTCCATTTAGTGAACATAAGAATGGCCATACTGGGTCAGACCAAAGGTCCATCTAGCCCAGTATCCTGTCTGCCAACGGTGGCCAGCGCCAAGTGGACTAAAGACTATGATCGAGTGATTTGACTTATGCCATTCATCTCCAGCCTCTGACAAACAGAGGCCAGGGACACCATTCCTACCCCCTGGGTAATAGCCTTTTATGGACCTAACCTCCATGAAATTATCTAGCTTCTCTTTAAACTCTGTTATAGTTCTAGCCTTCACAGCCTCCTCTGGCAAGGAGTTCCACAGGTTGACTACGCGTTGTGTGAAGAAGAACTTTCTTTTATTAGTTTAAACCTGCTACCCATTAGCTTCATTTGGTGTCCTCTGGTCCTCTCCACACCACGCATGATTTTATATACTTCTATCATATTCCACCCTCAGTCAGAGCTGGCCCAAAGCACATGATGCGCGGATTTACCACAACTCCTCCGTGTGCCAAAGGCTGCACGCCGGGACTTTCCTCCCCAACCACCACATCAGGGGTTGACCGGGCTATTGCCCGGGGCGCCCCATTGTAAGGGGGCGCAGCACGAGGCTGCCAGACCAGGCAGGGGCATACACCAGGTGCCCGGGGATAGGGCCGTGCATGCATCAGGCGCCCGGTGGCGCCGCACACCCGTGGGCGGTGCCACACTCCCAGAGTGCATGCATGCCTCGGGCCAGCCCTGCCCTCAGTCTCCTCTTTTCCATACTGAAAAGTCCCAGTCACTTTAGCCTCTCTTCATATGGGACCTGTTCCAAACCCCTAATCATTTTAGTTGCCCTTTTCTGAACCCTTTCCAAGGCCAAAATATCTTTTTGAGGTGAGGAAACCACATCTGTACACAGTATTCAAGTTGTGGGCGTACCACAGTTTTATACAGGGACAGTAAGATATTCTCTGTCTTATTTTCTATCCCTTTCTTAATAATTCCTAACATCCTGTTTGCCTTTTTGACCGCCGCTGCACACTGTGTGGACGTTTTCAGAGAACTATCCACGATAACACCAGATAGCTACCGATCCATGGTGAACCAGTTTGGCATGGGGAGATCCACTCTCAGTACAGTGCTCATGCAGGTACACCACTCACCGGCAACTGTGCTGAGGCGGGGGTGGAGGGGCGGGTGTAAGAAGGGGATGGGCTACATCTTAAGGAAAAGGAGGGGAGGTGGTGAAAGTCCCCTCCCTGGGAGGGTTTGTTCTGTCCCGCCCACACTAAGGATTGCCCGGGGTGGCCAGGATTACAGAAGGGGTTGCTCCTAGAGGATTGAGAGAGTGGGGAGGAAGAAGCGGGAGGGGGAGCAGGAGTGGGAGAAGGAGCCAAAATACTTTCCCCAGTGACAAACAAAGGTAGCTGGGGAGGCAGCAGGGGCTGGAGCAGCAGGAGACACCAATCTGTGCACCAGGATTTGCAGGTGGTTGCACATGGCATGGCTCTGGGCAAGCAGCTCCCGTCAGCTGCAGGTCTTCATGCACCCAGTAGTCCAGGGTGTGGTGCTGGCCTTGCAGGATTCCCAGGTGCTGCTGCTAGTTTCAAGGCAAGGATGGTAGGTCTCCACAGCATCGGAGTTGATCTGCTTGACCACAGGCCACGTTCAGCATGTCCTGCTATCCCTCGGAATGGGAGCTGGTCGGGACTGCACCCATGCCCTTATGCTGTATATGGTGTGAGGGTGGAGGGGGCGGGAGATGTGTGCTACCTCTGTGTAGAGGGGGCTTCTGGAGGGAGGGTATTGTGCAGTGTCCCACCCCGGGGTCAGGAGGATGGCATGTGCCTTGATACATACACGTGTGTGGGTAACAGGCCAAGGCCCCTGTGTGGCAGCCAGCTGGAGCCACATGCTCAGAGGTGGCACAGCACATGCACAGGTTGCTGCATGATCCATGGTCAGCAAGAGCCATGTGTGCGGTTCGTGGTCTCCCTCTCCTCCGACCCTCCCCCCGCAAAATGGGACAGTGATGGCACTCACA